TTGGGTTTAATTCTGACATCCGGGTATTTGATTTGTCCCTTCTGTTCCTTCTTCCTTTGCTCTTCCTTTCCTGCCTTCCTCTGGGATAATCAAATAATTATTTTAGGATTCCATTTTATCTCTTCTATGTGCTTATTCTTGATGGTTACTGAAAATCACAATTTGCATCCTTAACTCATTACAATCTACTTTCAAGTAACATAGTATTTCATAAGCAATATAAAACACAACAATGTAATTCCATTTACCCCTCCACACTTAGAGCTCTTATGGTTACATACTTTATCCTTACATAGGTTATAGGCTCCATAATAAATTCTAAAAAATCTTTTAAACAAACAGATATAGACAAACAATATTTAATGACCTTTTATATTTAATCTCAATTTTCTTTTTCTGATAATCTTGATTCCTTCTTGCAGATCCAGGTTTTCAACATTTCCCTTTAGCCTAAAGAAATTTTTTAACATTTTTTGTAGTACAGGTCTGCAGGAAGACTAATTCTCTCAGATTTTGTCTGAATAAAGTACATATTTATTTCAGTTTTGTTTCTGAAGGATATTTTCATTGCTTATAGAATAATGGAATGACTTTTTTCTTATACATTTTATCCATCGCTTTCTGGTCTCTCTTGTTTCTGATGAGAAGTCAGTTGTCACTCTAAACATCTAAACATCCCTCTCTTTATAGAATGTATATTTTTCCTCTTGCTCCTTTTAAGATTTTCTATTTATCTTTGTTCCTTTAGCAGTTTTATTACGATGTGGTTTTAATTTATACTTTCTGGAATTTGCTGAGCTTCCTATATCTATTGGTTGATAGCTATCACCAAAATCCAAAAATTCTCATCCATTATTTCTTCTGCTCTGTTCTTTCTCTTTCTCCTCTTCTGGGACTCCAATTACATATGTGTTAGACCATTTGATATTGCTCCATATTTTGGATGCCCCATTTTTTTTTTCTAAATTCATTTTCTCTGTGAATCAGTTTGCGTAATTTCTACTGACTTGTCTCCAAGCTTACTGATCACTTCTGCTGTGTCCCGTCTGCTTTTAGGCTCATCAAGTAAATTCTTTCTTTCTGATACCATATATTTTTCAGCTCAAGTATTTTTAAAAATAGTTTCCATTTCTCTGCTGAAATTCCTATTTCTTCACAAAGGTTGTTCACCTTTTCCACTATGTTCTTCAATACATTTTTTTGATTCTTAGAATTTCCATCTCTCTGATTACATTATCCATTTCTTCTTGCATGCTATCTACTTTTTCCATTAGAGCCCTTAGCGTATTAATCAAAGCTAGTTTAAATTCCCAGTCTGACAATTCTAACATCTCTGTCATATCTGAATCTGGTTCTTATGCTTACTCTGGCTCTCCAAACTGTTTTCTGTCTTTTATATGCCTTGTAACTTTCTGATGAAAACCAGACATGACATACTGGCTGTGGGAGGGTGAGCAGAGAAGTGGGGAAGATTAAGATGGTCCATTCTCATCTAGACCTACTGAATAATAGTCAAATACCCAAAGGGATAAAAAAAGATTGTGTTTTGACTTTATCATAGCAATGAATACTCAGTACAAGAAGCATTCATTCCTATGATAAAGATATGATAGATTCACGTACTCCTAAAACTTTACTTTAAAAATATCTAATGATTTCAAAATTAGAAAATAACATAAATATATTCTCTTAAATTCTCTTATTCTTCCCAACAACTTTAGATCATAAAATGTATTAACACCCTGTGGAAAACCCACAAAAACTAAAGATTCACCCAAAACACAGATGTCATTTACTTTGTGCTAGCATTGTCTTGTAGAAGGTCATAATAATTACGTTTCCTACTTTATGACCATGTTGAGTTTACATAGTATAAACAAATTATAAATGTTTTTAACTTCTAAGTAGAAAGCAATTCAATTTTATTTGCCATCTTTTGTACCTACAGGGGTACTCAGTGAATAACCACTAATAAATAGACTACTGATAATCTAATTTGCTATTCTACCACCAGTTAATAACTCAGTGTATCAGTCAATTTCAGTTACTACACAGAATACCATATACCAGGAGGCTTATAAACAAAAGGAATTTATTTCTCAGAATTCTGGAGATTGGGAAGTCCAAAATCAAGGTGCCAACAGATTCAGTGTCTAGTGAGGGCTGCTCTCTGCTTCAGGACAGTGACTTCTTGCTGCATCATCACATGGCATAAGGGGAAGGTATCTCTTTCAGATCTCTTTAATAAGGGCACTTAATTCCATTCATGAGGACGCAAGCCTCGCAATGTATCACTTCCGAAAGGCCCCAGCTCCAAAGACCATCACATTGCAGAGTTGAATTTCAACATATGAATTTTGGGCAGACATAAACGTTCGGTCCATTGCACTCAGTCTTCTTAGTTTTCTAAAATTATATCCTTGTCAGACATTATCACTGTACTTCTCTTTTTGTAAGGCTCTTTGGACTACAAGCCCCAGATGCACTCAGGGAACTTGAAGAAAGGGAGGCTTCCCTCTAAGGACAGCCCCGCAATACACACACTGAGCGGGAGTGGAACGCCATCCTGGGCAGGTCTAGGACCAGCTGTCACCACCTTATGGGCCTCAGGGTCTCTCTCACATTTGGTTCCCACTTCTCTCTGCACACTCTTCCTTTCGCCCATCCTCACCAGCTGACTTGCTCTGCTTCCTCCTATGTTCTGCTTCCTCCGCAACTTTGGCTTACAGATGGTCATCGTGGCTCCTTCAGCCCTGAATGACATTTGAGCAGTAGACCCTAGCATGAATTAGCAAATTCATTGTTATTTCTTAGTTCAAACTTCCTGAAAGGATCTGACCAACTCAGCTCATCTTTTCACCCAAGTATCTAATTTCATGGGTCATCTCTGGTGCATACTCTAATCACAACCTCTGGGGCAATTCCCAGCACCTTGTTTTAAAGTTCCCCAGGTGATTCTGATAGAGAGGCAATGTTAAGATCCCTGGAGGCAGGGGATTGAGATGGGTTACCCATCCCTGGTCCAATCATGAGGCTAGACTGGATTATGTTGTACAAAACACAACCAAGGTTAGAGTGGTATATCAGTTTCTTATTGCTGTCGTATCACATTACCACAAACTTAGTGGCTTCTTACAGTTCTGGAGGTCCGAAGTCTGAAACAGATTTCACTGGGTTAAAATCAGGGTATCGGCAGAGCTGCGTTCATTCCGGAGGCTCTAGGGAAGAATCCACTCCCCGCCCGCCTTCTCCAGCTTCTGAAGGCTGCTGGCATCCCTTGGCTCGTGGCCCCTCCTCCATCTTCAATGCCAGAAATGGCCGGCTGTGTTCTTCCCACATCACATCACTCTGACATTGAATCTTCTCCCTCCCTCTTCTACATTTAAAGGACCCCTGTGATTACGCTGGGTCCAACCAGATATCCCAGGATAATCTCCTTCTCTTAAAGTCAGTTGATTACCAACTTTAACTCTCCCTTGCACGTGACATACAACCACAGGCTCTGAGGATAAGGACATGGATGTATCTGGAGAGGCCATTATTATTATGTCCACCACAAAGGGTGTATGGAACACAACGTACCCTGTGGATAGATTCACTGAAAAGACATCGCGGCCAAGCAGCACCGTAAACACAGCTAACACAACACCATGCTGAATATTACAGCATGAGACATAGATTGACTATGAAAACTTTAACAGTTTATGTTGGTTTTCACCACTTATACTTTGTGCCAACAGATATTTCAGCCATAAAAGCAAGAGACTAAAGCATTCCTACAAAAACATATATGAATGCAAACAGAAACATTTTATCCTTCAATAATTTACAAGAAATCATGTAATTATATGAATTTGTATATTTTATCAATAACCACTACCAAAAATCAATTGTAATTAGCTTAGACTCCAGAAGAAATCTATTTGAAAAAACATTTTAAGTAATTTACAAGTTATTTTAGCCTTAGTCAATGACTACAAATATATCAAAAATATATCATTAACAATACAGTATAATTCTTCTAAAGAAACAAATACCCATGGTGTTTCTTTTTCAAAATAAATAAAAGTACTTGAGTTTTTAAAAAATTCTGTGCTTGAGGCTACCAGTAGGTGGAATTTCATGGAGGATTTTCTAGTTATTAACAGACTTTCTGAAAAATTTAACTGTGAAAACCTGTCACCAAAAATGTCATCTTAACCATCTAAACCAAAAAGAAGTAGGATGAAGTGAAAAAACAAGATCATTATATAAATGTAAAAGTTAGGAGAAAAATATTGCAACTTCAAAAAGCTTTGGAGGAAAAAGTATTTGCATGCTTGAGTCCTAAAAAACGGAATATTCTTTTGGTATTTAATATTAACATTCAAAATTAGAATAATAGGAAGTTTTTTCTTTCTTATGCATATATTTGCCATAAATCTATGCATACAAATACGTACAAGGTATCACGTACGTGTAATAATCAGCTTCTTTGCTGACCTCAATGTGGAGCTCAGTATCTGTATTTTAACTTTTAGTAGGTAAAAATCAGCACATCTTATTGCTTTTCGGCTTTATTCTATGATTCATTTGGAATATTATTCAATCAACAAATATTTATTGAGTATCTACTATGTGCCATATTATGCGTGCTAACCAGTTTTCAATCTACTAAATCTTTAAAAATACAATTGGTCCTGTTCAAGTTTAACAAAACAATTCACTAAAGTCTAAAAAAAAAAAAAATTACCAACTATCTTATCTTCATTTTTAAAAGCTTCTAAAAATTAACACTATTTTAAATCTACACATTCGGTGTTATCTAATAAATCGTGAGCTGGTAACAACTTTACATCTTCATCACCTAAAGCTGCGCATCTCCTGGCAGGTGCAATGGCGAATCTCCTTTAAGGCTGCAGTCTCTTCTTCGGACAATCACTTTAGCACTAAACTGAAATCAATCTGCTAACAAAAAAGTAACGAAATGTCGCTAGTAATCAGAAAAAAAGACGACTTACTGAGACTGCTTAGCTGGCGTATGATGGCGGCAAGAGTGCTGTTGGTGACACATTCAAGCTCACTGGTGATCCCTTCGGGCAGAGCTCCCCGGCACAAGTGCCGGGGTTCGATGTTCCTCTTCACTAAAGGCATGGCTCGCAATCTGAAAATTAAAAAGACTTTTTTTTTATAAGCTCATATTCACATTTTAACAAATCTAAGTTTTAATTCCCTTGAAAATGAACTATTTCCTAGGAATTTTCATTATCTTATCATTTTTATGTGAATCAGCTAAAATGCAACCAATGGTGAATTACTTAAATGACTTTTATAGATTTCAAAAATACATGTATAGTATAATACTATTTTTATAAAAAAATAATATATGCTGGATTTTCAGTTAAGCATGCGAGACTGCACACATGCATTTTTACCTTCCTCCCTCTCCTCCCCATTCCTTCCCACGGAAACCACCATGAAGGCTCCTGCACACAGCTCCCCCTCGCCCTCTGCCTCCTGACCCACCCGGGTGCTGCCCAGCGTGGCCCTGGGTGGTGCGCTGCCCCTCCTCTTGGGAACCACGAGTAACAAACTATCTTTGCAATCGCAATCATCTCCTCACTGGGCAGCCTCACTGTATCTTAAAACAGCAGGGAAGTCTGAGGATTCAGAAGAGACAGCAGGTGAGCACTTCCTTCATTGCCCCATGTGCTATTCCAAGCAACCTGCAGGAGACTCTGTGCCTGGTACCAGCAGGACTGACAGTTGCCTTTTCTTCCCAGGTGGACTCTAAGCTGCCTGAATGTGGGACTGAGTCTATGAGTTCCGTGTTCCTCACAATGCCTTGAACGGTCCTCAACAACCTGATTATTCAAAAAATGAAATCGTATCTAATGGGAACAACTTACACTATCTGGGTGATGGGCATGCTTACAACTTTGACTCAGGCGATACAAAAGCAATCCATGGAACCAAAACACTTGTACGCCCATGTTATGAAATTTAAAAAAAGGTCTTCTGATTATAAATACGCATATGTATTTCTATCTGGCCTTCTCTTGGGGCACTTCATCTATTGTTGTTCCAGTATTTCAACCTTAACTCATCAATCCCCAGCCCTCGTTTTTCATTATCATTACACCTTTGTTTGGAGCCCCGACACTTGTGTAAATACAAAGACAACAAACAGAGAGGCCAGGCTAGCTGTCTACAGTTTTAGAAAAAGTTCCACAGCTCCTCTTTAAAGTCCTAATCACCTAGCGGTGATTGTTACGGCTTTCCAATTCACTGTGAAGTACTTGTCTTTGTCAGTTTCAAGTGTTGCTCTAACAGAATACCTGACACTGAGGAGTTCATAAAGAAAAGAAGTTTATTTGGCTCAGGATCCCGGTGACTGGAAAGTTCAAGAGCGGGCAGACGCATCTGGTGAGGGCCTCAGGTTGCCTCCGCCTTCCAGGAAGGGTAGAAAGTGGATCGCAGGAGAGAGAGGAAACAACAGAGAGACAGTAAGAGAAACCAAGCAAACCAGACTCTTCAACAATCCACTCTCATGGGAACTAATCCACTGCCACGAGCCAGAGAGCTCCCGCACCCCCTAGGGAGGGCATTAATCTACCCTGAGGGGCCACCACAACCCAACTGCCTCCCCACACCACCACACTGGGACCGAATTCCAACATGGGTTGAGGGGAGGGGTACAAACCATGTCTAAACCCTAAGAGTACTTTAACACACGTATTTTTTTCCCTGATAGCCTTTATTTTATCTGACACTAATTCAGTTTTGTATACTTTGAAGAGCAAGGAAGAGGCAAAGGAAAAAAATACTGGGTCAGTCATTACTCCTGAAAACACTTTGCAATTACAAAAACAAACACATAATGAACTAATCCAGTTAGCCACCAACTTAAGTACCCCCTTCAATCCCTTTGTTGGAAGAACTACAGCCCATCCAAGTCATTTTTCAAAGTCAGTCTATATGCTAAGAATAAAACAAAGGTTGCTAACAAAATGTTTAAGTATTATTAGAGGTTACATAAGAGATTAGTGTTAGGCCCATAGTTTGTCCAACTTTTCTGGGAAATGTCTCAATTTAGTTAGTGAGAGACAACCTGGTTCACATAACTGTGAACTAGATTCCTGACATCAGTGAAACTGGGCCAGGGTCCTTCCCTAGGAATTTGGAAGTGGGACCATGATATCCAGCTTGGCCTGGCTGTTCTCTTCAACAGTGGAGACAGGAAACTATCTCTGAAATGGAGATTGACAGAGTTAGTCCCCAGCAAGAAATGAGAATGAAATAACTGAGAGAATCCGGCAAAGATGAGCGAAAGGCAAGGGCTCCCCAAAGCTGTGCCCAACCTCCCTTAGTTCACGGCAGACCAGGAGAGCACGCTCCCACCCAACCTTGTCCCCTCCTCCCCTGCAAGGTCAGGCTTGGGCCGTGGGTTAATGGCTCTTCCAGCTTCCCAGCTTCCACCCCCTTTCCTTTCACATAGGTGGTTTCCTTAGTCAAATCCTTGCAGCTGTGATCCCATCTTGGTGTCTGTTTGTCAGACCCGGACTAACACAAGTGGCCTGAGAAGGGTCTGAGAAAGCAGGTGGTGAGATGGGGGTTGAGGACTTGCTCACATACCTCTGCAGGTGAGAGGGATGCTGTCCTAGCTGTAGGTGGGGCCACAGTGAGTCCCTGGCACAGTTCAAGGCTCGCTGCTAAAGATTTCACTGGTGGTGACCTGGAAATGTCCTGGTGGACGGACATGCCGTGTCAGGCATAATAACACAGACACTTGGAAGATTCAGAGGGAAAAACGGAGTTGGCTAATACCTGCTAAGCTGCACTGATGCCTTGCATAGGGATAATGAGAGACAGAACTGCTGTTAACAGCTAAGGATGAGAACAATAGGGCATTCCGGGTGGGTGCAACGTGGCCCTCACCACGGCCTGGACTGCAAAGGCTGACACGATGGAGAACTGCGGGCTGAAGGCCAACTGTGAGCCTCAGAGCGGGTGCTCGGCCAAGGCAGGTGTTGGCACGCAGTCGAGGCCCTGAAAGAGAAAACCTGGCGTCCTGAAAATGGGATGGGGAATTCTAGATGAATGCCCAGGGCGTTGTTGAGTCCAAGCACCTACCCACAGCCCCCCACCAGGACCCTCTGGGCTTGTACTCGGCCAACCTGGAAGATTCTGCAGAAGCCTCTCTCCTACAGGGCGCAGGTGCCCTCCCCACCGCCCCACACGTCCTACAAGCATGCCTTCTTCCCGGATGCCAGGCTGGTAACAAAAGACAACAGCCGCGAAAGTGCTGGGACTAAGAGAGGAGGAGATCAACACCATCATGCCGACTGGACAGAACAGGCACGGGGGCTAGCACACTGGTCCAGCCTAAATCTTAGGATTCTGGACCTCAGAGTGGTGCCTCCTCCGGTTCTGTGGCTCTCTTCCCCGTGACAACTAAACTGCCTTACGTTTGTCCCTGTCTTGGGCACGGGAGAGTTCCTGTCCCTCTTGCGCAGAAGCAGACCTTTGCTTTGCATCAGTGAAAGATCACAGACCTAAGAGGTTGTCCTGCTTTTGCTACTACCCTTGGCCCCAGAAGCAGAGGATCTTGCTGGTCACAGGGAGCATGAACAAAGGTTTCCTAGTTGTCTGCCAGAAGGAGATCTTTGCTGAGTCCTATGGGATGGAGGGTCTCTTGCCCTCTGAGCAACTTCTGTGTCACAGGCGAGAAGCTCTGGGGTAGCAGACATTACATCACGCTGGCTCCCCAGGGGCAGCCGAGAGGAACTCCCACAGAGCTGCAGCACCAAGAGAAGCTCTGTCTGGCCTCCAGGCTTCCCCTAACACTTCTCATGACCACCCCAGTGGAGGCCTGTAGAAAAGAGCTTATCAGTAAGTGCAAATTCCCCTTGTATCTGGGGCACCTAGTTATTCTAAACTGATGTTTAGAATACAAACATGAGTATTCAAACTTAGGAATTCATTACAGTTTTAGCTTATTTCTTCTTATGCACTTCTATGATGATCACCTGTTTCCCCTGTGCTCTGCCACATGGGAAACAACTCAAGTGTCCTCTCTCTCCTCGAGAGGCCTTGCCACTCTTTGTGATTTAAGAGAATTTACTACTTTGTAGATCATCTGGCCTTTTCTCTTTCTTTAAATAAAAACAATGTTCTCTTATATCCTAACTGGGAGAAAACCTCCACCATCACAGTAAGAACAACATGAACATATCGTCTTCTTCATTTTATTAAGACTTTAAACTGGTAACTATTTTTTGCAAAGAAGAAAAAACAGTAAACTGATATTCTTGATGAGTGAACATGTGAGTACACTCTAAAAATTTGTGTGCAGACCCCAAAGTGAAAAAACTATTTTGGAAAGAAAAGACCACCACCACCACTGTATTAGCACGGATAACAGCTTTCATACATAAAACACACTTCGCTGAGCCATATAAATTAAACTGAAACCCACAACTGTGACCACCCCCAGCCTGCGCTGCACTATAGAAAGGGCTGACAGGACGCGGAGCAACACAGTAACTGCACTAAGTCCTTATTACTTATTTTAAAACCACATTACTCATGGTTAGAGCTAATTGAGTGTACAAAATTAACTGAATAGATTTTGTGATGGATTTCTTTCTCCACTGTGTAGCCGTACAGAGTATCCTGCGAGTTCTGAGAACATCCACAGTTTGCAGAACCTGATGGTGCCGATGACTCTGTCTTTTCTATTCCTGACGTGCCAATGACCTTTGCTCCGATCGCTGCACGCCAGGCGATTAGAGCGCAGCGCGGGGCAGAGCTGAATCGCGCGGTAAGGCTGTCACACACCCAAACTGACTGTGTGCGCACTGCAGATGTGTGGCTCTCTAATCACGTTCACTTGCACGTGTGAGTCCTGCCCTCAGAATGAATGGGATCCAAGCATACGTGGCCCTGTCTCGACGCTCACACGGAGTGAGTGACACAGTGCTGGCCCAAGCCCTGCCTCTGGCTTTTCGCCTCACTGTACCCTCTTCATCTGAAGGGCAAGGGCTACGTCTGCCTGCCTCAGTGTTACAGTGCCCCGCCTGGGGTCAAGTGCCTACCGACATCTCCCAGAAGAGAGTCACTAATAACATTGCATTCCCACAGCCAAGGAAGCACCTGGGCTTC